CTGTAAATTTGCAATAACTCAGCAAACATTAAAGTAAATCATTCATAAAATGACTCATTTAAATCTATAAAACATGTAAATTTTACTAAAAAAATTTAATAAGACATTTGTTCACCATCTCATTCAATAACTGCTTCACAATGTTTCTTCATTGATTCAATTAAATTTTTTATAACAGAATCTGGAATATTCTTCCACTCCTCAATCATAAATCATCAAGATTTTTTAGTTGCCATCTTTCCACATTGCTCTTGATGATATTCCATAGGTTCTCTATGGGATTGAGGTCAGGACTATTGGGTGGCAAGTCAATAATCTCAGGCACATTGGCCTGAAGAAATTCCTTGGCTACATGACTAGTATGCTTAGGATCATTGTCTCGCCGAAAGCACCAGACATGTCCAAGCATTTATTGAACCTCAGGTAAGTGCCTCTGAAGTATTCCAGCATAATAAGGTCCTGTCATTATTTGCTGAAAGCAGAAAAGGCTTGTTTTTCCTTTCATACAAAATCCACCCCAGGTGAAAATTTTTACACAATTTTTTGGAATAGGATGAATTGGTCATGTGCCTTTATATCATTGTTTTATGGTGTTCTTGAACAACTGGAATGCTGTTTCATCTGAAAAAAAAAGGTCTTATTCTAGTCTTTCTTTATGTGCACTGGTAGCATTGGGGTTGCTAATGACAAGTTGTTCTTATAACCCAAGCTACCCAGATGCTTTGAGATGGTTCTATAAGACACACCAATACCTTTTTCAGCCAATTTAACTTCAAGTTTTTGGGAAGAGAGAGAGGTTCCTGTCTTAAATACTGGCCAATTGCAATTGATGTTCTACTAGTAATTTTTTTAGGGCAACCACCACCTTTTTATGTTCAATGCTACCAAGTTTCCTTTATTTTTTTAATATAGAATTAATAGTTCGAAGTGAGATGTTTGTTTCTCTATGGTTGGCTCAGTCTAAAGACCTCATATTGCTGCTCCATGCACTCAAATTTCAAAAATTGCGATTTCGTGATTTGTTCAAAAATACAAAAGGGCTTCACGTGATTTTGGTTAAAATTTTATTTTCCTTACTGTCAAATTTAGATATGATGGTCGAGTGCTATCTAAATTTAGTAATGATAATCAAAAGCTAGTAGAAATTTAGCAATGATCATAGTGCTCAAATTTCTCATATTAAAGTACATGTTTTAAAAAAGAATAGAACTCTATAACAAAAAATTTTTTTGAGAAAATCTTTCTATATATTACATTAAAACTAAAGACACATTCTATCAACTAATAGAGCTGTTTTTTAAAAGGTAGGACAGAAAATGACTTCTATGCTTTTAAAATTTGCCCAAAATTTAGGAGGTCTTTAGACCAAGCCAACTATGATACATGATAGAAGTAGATGATTGGCACATTAAGGATACCGGCTGCAACTTTTGATGATGGTTGCTACCACCTTTGCGTCATATAAAAATGATTGCAACCACTGGTTGCAACCACCTTTACAACCATTTTGTTTCCTTTTTTGGATTGCGACATGGAACACTATCCCAAATGATGACTTTCCAGCATGAATCCACGATGAAGACTACAGGTATGAACGCTTGATGGCAGGGTTCATGGACTTGGATGATGACCTTGTGCTTCCAATTCAGCTCAGTAATCCAGATGTTGAAGTGTTGGTCTTCCCTGATCTCTTTCCCACTGGCCGTGGTCACTATGAAGATGTGAAAAAGTTGCTAGGTTTTAAACAAATTACAGACAGTTATGGAAAGTATGTTAAATTGAGAATGCTGTGTCCTGATCCACGGTTTCAATTGCATTGGTGTTGGCCACATTATTCTTACATGAATATAGAAAAAAACGGAATTACCAAAATCGGAACAGAATTTTGAATCAGAAGAATGTTGCTTGCGACTCACCCCTTACCAGAGCCGACTTGATATCATCGAGTGTGTACACAAGTTGCCCCATCATAAACGAATCCTTAACCATCACGCTACCTTCATCTATCAGAACGTCTGTGCTTTTTTTCAAGAAAAAACAGTATCAGGTCAACACAATGATCCAAGCTTATGGCCTGCCCCAAATTTTCTATACCATGACAGCTGCAGAAGGCAAATGGTGGCATCTGAAAGAAATCTTAGAATGCACCGACAACAAAGATCCACTCCCAACAAACAGACCATTGCACATGTACCTCCATTATCACAACAGGTTGGCAAACGTGCGCAATAAACTTTGGAAAGATCCAGGTCTTGTGCAATGGGGTAAGCTCCTACACTATTTTGAAAGGGATGAATTTTAGAACAGAGGAACCATCCACACACATGGGTTTGCCTACACTGAATCTTCGATCCAAGGCTTGATTTCGGACAATGCAATCTGTGCAGACATGCCTCACCTGGTCCTTGAGCCTGAGCTTCACTGGCTTGTCACAATGTTCCAAATTCATAGATGCATTGTGGAAAAATGCAGAGGTCCAGGTACGAATTTGCAACTGTGCAAAAATGGATTCCCTCAACCGCTTTCAAACGACACGTACTGTAGGCCAAATTCCAAATGATACATCTATCAAAGAACCAAAGAGGAAGACCACTGGGTTGTACTGTACTACCCTGAGACACTTTTGATTTGGCAAGGACACATCAACTTCCAATACATAACAACCCTTGGGTTTGGAAAATACATGACAAAGTATGCCACCAAGCCTGAACCCACAGAAATCTTCAACGTTAACAAACAAGATTATTACAGCAGACTTTAAAGGAAGAATTGAATGCAAGATTATTAACAAACAATTTTTACACTTTTAAATAAATACAATCTCGTACTTTTGCTCTTTTAAATACAATCTTTTATTTGTCAGTAACTTTTTTTGTTGTCCAGCAATGGCCTTTCAAAAAGACCCATACTTTTTAGCTTCAAAGACCTAATTCTTTATGAAAAACAACGTTATAATGATCACTTTAGTGTGATAAGATAGAGTATATTGAGGGCTTTCAGAAAATATATGGTTTGTTTGGTTTTTACAGAAGAGGAAGGAACTAGAAGCAAAAAAAGTTTTTATAAGTTATTTATGACCCTTTTATATATTAATGTAATTTTATTTATTTTTTCTTTTCACATTATTATATTGTATATAACTATTTTAGATGTACATCGAAGAAACAATTAAAAATAAAAAACGTTTTATAAGTTAATATAATTTTTATTTTTGTTTTCTTTTCACATTATTATACCAATATTCTCTAACTTTAGTAGATGTCCATGAATTATTTATTTCAATAGATTTTCTAATGATTTTTTTGCTACATCCTTTGGTAAATCTGTAGGATGACTAAATGCTTCTTGAAGCATTTCGAGTTCCTTATCTGTTTTTTTATGACTTTTATGTGGAGTGGTTTCAACTTGTAATATTTCATTAACTGGCGCAACTGTTATATCTTCAACTAGAACAGGTATATTGTCTCTAATTTCTGCTTCATCATTTTGTTTTGTTAATTTCTTTAACAAATTCATTATGTTCTTTAACTTTTACAAAAGCAACATCTTTACTTTGTCTACCAACAGTGGAACATGGTAATGTTTTATAAACTTCTTGATATAATAATTCATTAAGGCATTTTAAACCCTTTTCATCATATTATTAAAACCATTGTCATTCATTTCCTTTATATTTTTTAAAAAAAAACATGTTCTGTAGGATCTGGAAGATTAAATGCATTAGTTAATTCATCAACAACAGACCATAGAATATCTCTTTGTTGTACTTTTGCTTGCTCTCCTTTGTGAATGGTATTTTTTGATAAATTCTGAGATAAGTGATTCCTATGGATTTAATGATGATTTTTATGATCACAAAGATAAATTATAATATATTATTATTTATTAATAATTATTAAAATGAAATTACAATAATTTAACAAATTTCTATTTTGTAGGAATATTATAAAACATC